TTTAACTGCTCCCTTAAAGATAGTTACATGGTAGAACGACTCGGCAAGCTCATCATCACTTCATTGAATACTATCCACCGTGGTTAGGCAAATGAGCAGTGAAATCCATCAAAAGCTCAATACTCGCCTATCTAGTAGATAGTGAGTATAAGATTAACAAACCTCAGCATTTACTATTATTTACAAAGTGTGCCTCTGATTAATAAGCATAGCAGAAGCCATAACAATCAAATTTTTCAAACCTGGTTTATGTATTCAGAAGACGTTTGTCTGTCCGTTTTTCTCCTATGGCCTTCAACCCAGATTAAAATACAATAAATTCCTTCCCAGTTACCCGGATAAATGTCAATATTACCTCTGTTTGTACTCTTATTATTATCATTTTATACTTCGCCTTTAGTTTCATAATTGATGAATAATTTTAACATTTTATTATCTAATCGCTATGCGACAATATTTCCATCTATCCCTGTACACACATAATTCACTCACACACCTATAAAGATTGACTAATGAGAATGTATAAACTTTCTGAGATTTTAGGACGAAATGCGCATCCTGGATTCCCCTGCTAGCCACTATCCATCATTACTACCATTAGAGCACCGGTAATATCGAGGATCCGCACAGGATCCCATCTGCCAATAAAGACCCACCAATTCGGTTAAATCAACGACGGTATGATATAAAAACAATTATACTAAAAACTATACCCGTCGCACAAGAAGTGGTTATCGTGGCTCGGTGGTGTAATGGATAACGCTCTGGCGTTTGAAACGATCGCTCCCGAGTCAGGATCTCGCTGGAAACAACATCACTCACTGGGAAGCAGGTATATCCAGCTGACGTCCCAAATAGGACGAAATGCGCATCCTGGATTCTACTACTAGCCACTATGCATCATTTCCGAGATTTTGTTTATGTTGTTGTCACATTTACTCTTATCTTCTAATTCATATACCCGAATTAGTTTCACCATATTGATTTCAAATGAGGACTATGCTGAATAACTTGTAAATGTAAAGCCTGATAAGAATTTACGGAAACTCTGTCTTCTAATTATCAAAACTGTTGTAGATTTTGTGGGAGACAGTTTTTCCTTAGAAATCCAATCACCTAACCGTGTAAAATTGATGGTGAATGCAACACTCCATTTACTACATAATATTATTGTTTTTCGCTTAGTGTTGAACTTAGTATATAGTCACTACTTGTTTAGTTATCATTAAACATAAACTAAACTTTCTATACCCTCTTTTGAGAAGACTACAAATGTTTGGTAGTATTCCTGCTTGATATCATAATGAGCATTATCACTCACTAACTTAGACATTTAGTTATCCATGGGGCTTTACTGATTCAGAAGATATTGTATATATTTACAGTGAACAGTATCATCACTAAGCTCTTAAACAGACAAGTGTGATGCATTGAGCTTACAGTGCATCTATCGTCTGTGTCAGAAATCGTATTAACTCCTATAGAACCGAAGGTATAACAAGAAGGTACGTCTTGGTCTTTGATAAACTCCAGTTCATATTCAGGTATTCTGTATATTGTTTTCAGTTCAAAATATTCCATCGCTGTGAACTTTGATTATCTGATCTTTCTTTTTCCAAATTTTTTTATTTTCTTTGAGTAAACTGGATATATTTATACTTTGATGTGTGTAAGCAGCAGTTATGTTATTTACACTGATGAAACTGTTTCTTTAGTGTGAATTACGTTTGGACTGTTTCATTACTTTCAGTAGCTTCTTCATTCAAAGTATCGAACTTCAGGCTTACTAAACAACTGAATAACAAAATCAACGTAGAACCTCGCAGTTAGGTGCTTCGTTAAAGTTGCCACACTTCACATAAGTACAAAAAGTACACGTGAATAAAAAAAGCAGTGGTATTAAAGTAGATAAAGTAGTATTAGAGAATAAACAATCTGAAGATAACGGTTAATGCAAATATTCAAGATTTAGAAGACGTCAAGGAGTGAATACATCTACACCATCAGTGTGACCGATTTCCAGCCTTGTCACTAAGACTCAATCATCGACCACTGATTCCTTTTGTCTCGAAAATCCCACTCAGGTAGTCTATATCTCATCCACATGGCTCAGACTAACAGTGAGAGATTTCATCAACTGATGGCAGGTCTTGATTTGGCCACGCTGAACCCTTTTCTATCCTAATCCAACTTCGCCCAGCATGGAACATTGAGAACTAAATGACTTGAGTAGCTAGAAACCACTCAGTCTTATCTTTTGATTTCACCAAACGAATCAGAGATGCCTACTGTCACTCTTCCTATTTAAACTCATGATAGACGTACTTATAGACATTACCTTATGTAGGTCAAACTTCAAAAGGTTTTACCTGCTCCTTGGACCGTCATATGACTTGGCGTATACAGACGATGTTGTTCAGCTAGGTGGAAACGCTGAAACAATACAAAAAGGGTCTTCTGTACGCTTTGAAAAGAAATCTAAGTATGTTTGGTAAGTGTTTTGTTCGCACCTGTTAAACATAAGATGATGCTCGAGGTTGGGTCTGATGCAAGTACTCTAGATTTAATGATAGGAGGTGAAGTGGTGGGATGTGTCGACTACTTCACCTACTTGAGAAGTTGTATCAGCCTAAACGGGCTGGTTGCTGACGAAATCTGAGCTAGGATACAAAAGTCTTGTTTTGCACTTGTCAACTTGTGAGATATCCGATCATCTGTGAAAGGATGAGTATATTATGCTGCATTCCGTTCTGTTCTTTTGTATGGCTGAGACAGTCGTGAAAAGTAGATATGAAGCGGTCATGTGGTTTTGATGATAGATGTCTTCGTAGAACTGCTTGTGTGTGGTGGGATCACCGTATGAGCAATGTTGAGACCAAACAAAGAGTACTAGGCAAGATAGGCAGATGGATTGATGAGATTGTGAACCTTCGTTGACTGAGGTGGCTTGGATATGTACTTCGCATGTTGAGCCACCTACCTACTTCGACGTGTCATGCTGGTGGGAGTCGGATTAGGTTGGAAAACGGTTCAGGGTGGTCAGATCAAGACTTGGCACCAATCGACGAAGTGTCTTACTGTTGGTTGGAGCTGTGTGAGGATATGTAGACCACCTGACCCCGAGATGATAGGAATCAGTGGTTGAGTCTTAGTGACATGGCGGAAAATCGGTCACAATGGCGACGTCTTGTAAAGCTTGAATATTTGCACTAACCTTTATCTTCTTTCATATCACTCTTTTTCTACCCACCTGTTCTTTTTATACTACGATGAAGTGTGGCAACATAGGCCAATACACCTATGTGCAAGGTCCTACGTTGATTTTGTCAGTCAGTTTGTTCATTTGGAGCCGAGCTCATCAATGGTGTCCCCGGATAAATTCAGTTCATAAGGCGAATTAGTTCACATTACCCCAAACAAGCGAAACGGCCGTCTGGTGTTTAAATCACTCCGATCTTGCAAACGAAATCTAGAAATCAACCTGAGTACACTCTGTCTACTAAGTTGCTGATTAATAGTATACTGCACTTTTGTGTCAAATGTCACACCTTATGATCTCAGCTAACGGGTTTTTCCTAGAGCAAACCTTGCTGACACCACATTTGAGTAGTTGAAGAACTACTCAATTGTGAAGAATGTCAACGTGGATCGGGTAATTTGTAGGTCATTCGCGAATTAATTGTTGTGACGAACTGTTACAGAATATGCAAATCAGACTTATTGCGTATATGAAACTTGATTATGTCAATTTTGCCGAAAATAATTCGATACGATTATGTAAACTAAGGATATTGCATAGAATATGATATGATAGTATACGATATTATAATACTACACCCAACTTGGTATTCAAAATTCGCTTCCTTTTGAGCGATGAAATGTTCTAACTACCTTACTCGTAGAGAGAATGACGCCAGTCAAATCAACGACTCTTCCTAGTAAGCATTAAAAAGGTTAAACTAGCTTCACGCTAGGTTATTTTTTCGCTTCAATCTTGTTGTCTGAATCTCCACACTGTGTGGTTAATTCGGTGTTTTACGCATCATCATCTGCCTCACTGCAGTAGCGTTACAGGCATCAGAGGAAATATGCCACATCGCTGTAAATGAAAAACGTGGTTGAAATGCATTCTCATTAGACCCTTGAGCTTTTAGCCAGAACGACTAAGGACAACTCAATTTCCTGGTAGTGAATCGAATTTATGCATATTTGTGTTCGGTTGACTTGTTAAAACAATTGGTGAGTTTACAAGCTGACTGTTTCTAGTTTACTCAAAGCTAAGGGTTTTACTCTTAAAGGTGAATCTACTGCGCGTTTCATTCTTCATCACTTAAAATAAGAATAATCACCTAGCTTACTTGTATTGATGTATCCACAATCCACCTAAAAGTGTACTTAGCCAACTTTGAGGCGAGTCACTTGCTTTGAATTCGCTTTCTCGCATAGCCTCAGCACTTACATGCAATAGATAATGAATCACATCCATTGTGCATTGACCCTCTATACCTTGGTGGTTAGGGAGTATGATGCAAACATATGACTCATCGGTTAAACTTTGAGTACGTTAACTGGTTGGTTATAGTGAAACAACGATCAGCTGTTGTTAAATATCTGAAACATCATAAAAGAATAGCTTATTTGATACTTTGTTCTTTTAAGTCTGTAGTAAAGTAGTAGACTGCGGAATTAACTTGGATTCTCATCACAGAGATTAAACATTTTTTTGACTCAATATATTTTGACAACATTTCTCCCACAGAAGCTCCCAATGACTTGAGTATCAGTCATCACAACAAGTATATTTCTACAAGTCATAAATTCCATTTGAAAGCAAACAATCAATTGTATTTCGTTGGTAAAGAAAAACACAACTTCTATACACATATTACAAATCAACACTTAGAGAATGTCTAAATGCATTTTTAAAACAATGAAGTTCTGACAGTGTAAACAGTTTACAAAAACTCATCAAGCTATCGTAACATGTTCGTTATACATTTTCAAGATGCAAATCTTTTCCCAAATGGACTATCTCCCACACTGGTGGCAATATTGCCAAGTCCGCCGCTTAGTGTATTTAAACCAGTGCTTTGACCAAACAGACAGAAACCTGTAGCAGTAGTAGCAGCAGCGGATACTGTCGGTGCGAATCCAAATACCGGTTTCAATAAGCTTGATGTTGTACCAGCAGTAGTAAGACCACTATTACCCAAGACACCAGTTTGTGAGAAGAAAGGCGCTGAAATTTCAACACAATAGATACGGTGAGGATTTCATTATACACACAGCGAGATAGAAAAAAATGTGAGTAGAATATTTGATACTAGATGATGATTGAAGGTGAAGTGGAAATTTGGACTGAGGCCGGATTCGAACTAGCGACCACCCGTGTTTCTGGCCTAATCCTCTACCTGAGCTACGAGGTTCAATTGCTGACCGATTTTTATTTCAATTCAATCACCAAGGGTTGAAGTGAAATAAAAATCCGGTCAGCAGTCAGACCTCGTAGCTCGGTTAGTAGAACATCGGCAGGAAACTCCGCGGTCGCTGATTTGAATCCGGCCGCACTCCAAATTTCCATTTCACCTTCAATCGTTACCAAGTATAAATGCTAGTCTGCCAAACCACGGCTATCTTAGATGGTCAAAATGATAAGAATACTTGAGATGCAGAGACAGCGCTGAGTATAGTAACTGAGGTACTGGACAGTGAACTAAACTCATAATAACTGATCATACTGTCCAAATCTCCATTGATTGAATGGGTTAAAAACCCTAGACAACTATCTGAAAATCAAGTGTCCTAAAGCAGTGAGTTAAAAATCTAGTTTCTCACCTGGTAGTAATACGTAAAAAGTTTGATCTTGGATATATTTTAGGGCTCACAGCAACATAATCGATAGTACACTCTTTATTGCATTTTTCCCTTGTCAGTTGAGTACATCTGAGATCTAATAAGGGGAATGAAATACAACTTGTCAACCACGTATAGTGGGTGATGAGTCGCATCTATTGCGTGATACTACCTGACTGTGTATATCCCAGTTAGCAGACCAATGCATGACCCAAAATCCAGTGTTTAAACCAGTGAGCCATACCTCGGAGGACTTAAAAATCAATTACTCATCGTTTTAAGTCAATTTAATCTAATGACTTGTGCAATGCATGTTACTTCCTAATGAGATTTCTGCCATGCTTCCATGCAGTTTTATCATTGGAATCACCTGAAACTAGATGCGTTAAGTCCAAAAAAACGTTATCGGATGGCCACTTTTTTTACCACTAAAGAATGTGTATGAACTCATTCTCTGTCATGCTATAATATTTTATTGATGACATATATCCTGGATTCCATTACTAGCCGATATCTATCATGAATATCAAACTTGAGAATACCGGCAATATGAAGGAAGAATAAGTATATTTCAGTGAAGAGTCTCTTTTCTCCGCGATTTCATTTTCAAAGCTGTACGATAGCAAATTTATACATTTTTCCTAGTGTAAGGATTTGATAGTTAAAAAACGGTTTACCAAGCATAGCAACACAAATGGTGTCAATAAATAAGGTCATCAAAATCGAAAATTATCAAACACTGATGAGTAGTGAATATTGATCAAAATAAGTTTGGACAAGAAGTTTCGTAACATGACGACATGATTGGGAAGTGAATTGTGATTAGGCAGAGCATAGCAACAAGAAAGAGTAGCAAATTAATTAAGAAGTGAATGGTGTGAAAATATAAAAATGAAAAGAAAAGGAGGGGAGGTAGACATTTCAAAGACTGGAAACTAAGATTTTACAAGGAGAAGGGGTTGAACAGTCTTATACGTATACAGTCCAGGTTTCTTCATATGGATGGCAACAGCTTCGAAGATGCAGAGAATACGAAGATATAAAGTATTTGGACGGTTTGTTTTCACTTTATAGATGACGCTGAACGAGAAGGCTCTTGAGATAGCGTGGTTCGTGTTAGCGATGTGTCCAATTATAGCACTCCTTATCGCTCTATTGTTACCTCTTTGCAACCACATGGGAGTGTCCTTGAACCTTTCGGATAACACTTGCGTCGAACGACCTATATACCTTGCTGCACAAGAGCAGGTAAACTGATATATGTACATAGAAGAGGTCAGATGTGCCCGTTTCTCCTTTGAATAATTAGAAATCGCTGGGCGATAACAAAATACTAGTCTCAGAGTTGATACATAGAATGTTTTAATTAGAAAGTTTGCTATTCTCCTTATTAGAGTGTAACCAGCAGAATCACCTTCGAGATTTAAACTTATATAGAGCGTAGTGTAAAACTTCGGCAATGTGGTAGAATGTAATTCCATATCAGTTTTGTTTATTTGATATATAGCGCACAGTGATACAGTATTATTTGACTTGATTACGTTTCGAGCATAAATTATTGCTCATAATCATATCAATGTAATCACACTTCTTTCGATATCTGATTTTATAGTCCTGTCACCTGATCTCTCTTTGTTTTTTGATTGGTAGTAAAGTTTTCCATATCTCTGGTATAGGTGTTGCGTCATTCCTATTACATGTGTTGGGTGTGGATTCGATGAACAAAGATTCAGTAATTAATCTCTCTCTCCACCTAGCTATATTAGACTTAAGTACAGTGGTTTTGTCCCACCCTATTGTGTGGTTGTGTTAATGAATGTAATGCAATGGCCGAGTGTTTTTCTAGGTTATTGATCTTATTGGGGTCTGTCGTTCTATGTTTAGCTAAATTCCTATGTTCTGTTAATCTAACTGACCCCGACCGGCTAGTTTGACCTATGTATTTGACCTCACAGTCATTACATGGAATTTGGTAGATTATATTATTTTGCCTAATTGGTTCTATCGGATCTTTTAGCCGACAAAGCTTACCTCTAAGTGAGTTTGTTGGTTTAAATGCCACCCTAACCTTGTTGAGAATCCTACGTATGGTTTCTGATGTTCCTTCCTTGTATGGTATCACAATAGAGGTGTTGATTTCCTTTCTACTTATGTTGTCACTATTATTTGTATTTGTATTAGTGTTATTATTTTGCTTCTTATGTGTCCGTGTGAATTTCTTAATAAAATGATGGGGATAATTATTAACGCTTCTTTTATGTGTTTCAATTCCTTATTTAAGTCCTTACAATGACTAGTGAGTTTCTCAGCTCTGTTATTTAGACATTTGACTAAACCCGCTTTAACTGACACTGGATGAGATGACTTGAAGTCTAGATACCTGTTAGAATGTGTTGGTTTTCTGTAGACGGTAGTATCTAAACCACCATCTATCCTTCGTTTTATTCTGCAATCCAACATAGGTAATTCTCCTTGTTCATTTTCTACTTCGTAAGTGAATTGGATTGCGTTAACTACTGAGTTTATGTGTGTCAAGAAACTGTCGATATGTTCCGATTTCAACACTGTAAATGTGTCATCCACATATCGCCACCATATCTTAGGTGTCGGATTATATGTTCGTAAAGCCATATCTTCCCAACTATCCATAAATATATCTGCTACAAATTATCTTAAAAAAATGGATGAACATATCCAAACAGGGCCATATGGAGAGATTAAGAAACCTATAGATACTGTCATGAATAAAATTAAGAAATCTACAACAGATCTGATACGCCGACTGAAGCCATCTCTAGGTAAGTCCGAATGGTTTACTTTAATGCCAAAAACTAATAATCCTAGCAGAATTTACGGTACTATTAAGGTTCATAAAGCAGGTTATCCCATTAGGCCGATAGTTGACTTCCGGAACACACCAACATATGAGATATCAAAGTATTTAGCATCAGTATTACGTCCTGTTAGAGACCGTTCCAACTCTAGACTAGTAAATTCTTACGAGTTGAAACAAAAACTTAATGACCTGCACATAGAAGAGAATGAAAAAATGGTTAGTTTTGACGTAACAAGTCTTTATACTAAAATACCAATCAATATGGCACTGGAGGCAGTCAGAAATCAACTAGATACTGACTCACAACTTACTCAAAGAACCAAGGCATCGGTTGGTGAAATCATGTTAGGAGTGCAGTTATGCTTAACCTCGACAGTCTTCAAGTTTCAGGGAAAGATATATAGACAAACAGAAGGAGTAGCAATGGGATCACCAATATCCCCTATAGTAGCAGATATATTTATGGATAGTTGGGAAGATATGGCTTTACGAACATATAATCCGACACCTAAGATATGGTGGCGATATGTAGATGACACATTTACAGTGTTGAAATCGGAACATATCGACAGTTTCTTGACACACATAAACTCAGTAGTTAACGCAATCCAATTCACTTACGAAGTAGAAAATGAACAAGGAGAATTACCTATGTTGGATTGCAGAATAAAACGAAGGATAGATGGTGGTTTAGATACTACCGTCTACAGAAAACCAACACATTCTAACAGGTATCTAGACTTCAAGTCATCTCATCCAGTGTCAGTTAAAGCGGGTTTAGTCAAATGTCTAAATAACAGAGCTGAGAAACTCACTAGTCATTGTAAGGACTTAAATAAGGAATTGAAACACATAAAAGAAGCGTTAATAATTATCCCCATCATTTTATTAAGAAATTCACACGGACACATAAGAAGCAAAATAATAACACTAATACAAATACAAATAATAGTGACAACATAAGTAGAAAGGAAATCAACACCTCTATTGTGATACCATACAAGGAAGGAACATCAGAAACCATACGTAGGATTCTCAACAAGGTTTTAGGGTGGCATTTAAACCAACAAACTCACTTAGAGGTAAGCTTTGTCGGCTAAAAGATCCGATAGAACCAATTAAGCAAAATAATATAATCTACCAAATTCCATGTAATGACTGTGAAGTCAAATACATAGGTCAAACTAGCCGGTCGGGGTCAGTTAGATTAACAGAACATAGGAATTTAGCTAAACATAGAACGACAGACCCCAATAAGATCAATAACCTAGAAAAACACTCAGCCATTGCATTACATTCATTAACACACAACCACACAATAGGATGGGACAAAACCACTGTACTTAAGTCTAATATAGCTAGGTGGAGAGAGAGATTAATTACTGAATCTTTGTTCATCGAATCCACACCCAACACATGTAATAGGAATGACGCAACACCTATACCAGAGATATGGAAAACTTTACTACCAATCAAAAAACAAAGAGAGATCAGGTGACAGGACTATAAAATCAGATGTCGAAAGAAGTGTGATTACATTGATATGATTATGAGCAATAATTTATGCTCGAAACGTAATCAAGTCAAATAATACTGTATCACTGTGCGCTATATATCAAATAAACAAAACTGATATGGAATTATATAGAGTGTCTTATCTCGTACGGTAGTAAGGTTCTCTTTAGGAGGTTTAGGCCTGATGTGTTTGACTATGAAGCGTGCTGGAAATTTGTTTTCAATCAGGATGTCCTTCAGAACGGAAAATTCCTCTTCTATCTTGTCAGGACTGCAGATTCGTCTGATGTGGGTTGTAAGAAAGATGATCAGCTTTCGCTGACGACTTATAGGGACCCAGCTGTTGAAAGTTCGTCAGTTGACTATTCCACATTGGCTTTCTGTGAATTGATCTACTCAATGTTTCATCAGCTGTTCTTGTCAGACCTACATCAAGAAAGTGAATTTTCGGTCAACTTTCGACCTCACAGGTGTACCTAATTGCTGAATATTTGTAGAATGTGATTCAAATCATATCGATGACCACAGATAATAAAAGTATCGTCCATCTATCTTCTGTACGGTTGAAATACTTTAATCGTTGATTTCAAGGGTCCGTTCTTCAGACTGGCAATATATAGGGGCATCCGCGTAGAAGCTCATATGCCCAATACTGACCGATCAACGAAGAATATACACATTGAAACTATTTTATTACTCCGGTACCAATAATTATTCTTTTCCTCTTTGGTTAATCTTTAGGGTTGTTCTATTCATACTTTGTAAAAAAGCGAATTCTTTCTGTCTGTTTGAAAACTAGGATTCTTATCATTTTAAAATAAGATTCCGAAGACGAAAAAATATATATGCCTAAGAAAAACCAAGAAGTACATAACTCTACTGGATTCATTCTATATTTATCCACAAAAATTTATCTGGACTCACTAGATTCTAATATTACACCCTAATTTAGTAAATGCAACCTGGCAGCATGGTGTTGGCATGGAAGAGACCAGTGACCACTGTCTTATTGTAGGCGGAAAATGTGAAGAAAAACCCAGTGAAATATAACCTGTGTGTTTTACATAACCAAGTATAAGTACTAATAAATCTTCAAAGCTGTAGCTCCCCTGGTAGTTGGTACTCGACTTTCAACCAATGTGCGACATGTTCGAACCCCATACCTCCAACCAGCTAGTAGTATCGTTATCTCTCTCTCACGTAATACGTGTGACTCATTGCTTACTGCACATATATATTCAAGACGTTGCTAAGTGAATTTCCGTTTTAAGTAATAACCCTTACTACACACGTGGCTCACAGTGAAGCAGAAGATGAACCAGTGCAAGGATGCACAACGAAAAGACGAACTGAGTACAACGTACAAAACACTGGACGAAGAAGTGAAAAAGAGTGCACGCAAAGACAAAAGACACTTCTACGACACATTAGCAAGTGAAGCAGAACAGGCTGCAGGTAGGAGAGACAGAGACCTGACAACATTAATATATTAAATAACCAGGTTACTATCCGAGAAGAGATCAACGCAGACGAAACCAATGAAAGGTAGTGAGGGAAATTTAATTACCAAAGATGAGAAACAGGAAACGATGGGCTGACCACTTCAAAAAGCTCTTGAATCGACCACCGCTACCAACTACAACTCGTCCATAAGTACCGTCAGTAACGGCAGAACTACCAGTGAACATGGACCCTCTGACAAAAGCAGAAGTCCTGAATGCCATGAAACTGCTGAAATCTGGGAAAGCAGCACGACCAGATGGAATTCTCCAGAAGAACTGAAAACAGACGCAAAGACAACGGCGGACATGCTCACACTACTACTGCAGGAGTTTTGAAAGGAAGGAAAGGCACCTGCAGTAGCCTCCCCATGGTAGAGCTTCTCCACTTTGACACCCTCGCATGTAACTATGGGGAGGCATTTGACTAGTAATTCAAAAGTGGTGACAACTAATCACTGATGAATGGATAGAGACTATTATTCGCTCCGCATTGTGACACATAAATAAGCGGAACCAAGTCTCTTACTTCCAGCTAAGATGCATACCAGCTGCATGAAGATTGCTGATAGCCTTGAACAGTCTAAACCTCAGTAGATAATCCAGAAATTAAAGCTCTAACTGAGTGGTTAAAACTCAAGTGGTTGTGAATGAATGAATGATAATTTCACTTCATATTTTCAGGCTGTATACATAATTTTGTTAGCATACACTGCTGGCACAAGGATAGCACCAATTATTACTCTTTGTTGCATGATCAACGGTCAGGTCAACATATCTGAATATCCATTAGGTGCAATGACAAAATTCGCAAACGTGTAATATTATTTGTCCCTTGGATCCCTAGCGGAACATAGGGCTTCAGTAGCATGTTGCTATTTCACTCTCCTCTCTGCCGACTTTTCAACCTGGTTCCACAACTGCCCATAAGCTGCCATTTCTTCTTCATACGATACGCCTCCATATCACCTTTGGGCGCCCAACTCGTCGTTTCTCATTTGGTTTCCACTCGGAGTTGGCCTGACGCGTGATGTCCCAAAATAATCTCAGTCTACGAACGATCCATCTCCACTTTCTTCTGCATGCACGTTGGGCGATAGGTTCTTGGTTGGTTCGTTACCACCCAGAGTGAGTACCTCCTTCCTTATTCTTATTATTCTGGCTATCCATCTGATCTTCAGTCTCAGTATCGAGTAAGCGTAGGCGGCAGCTGTTCATGTATGTCTCCAGTTTGTAGAAAATGCTTTTCTCAACGCGCCACCAAGTCTCTCAACCATCACATGGAGGCACTGACTTACTTGACTGACATTAGTGTTGAAAATCCTCATCTTCTTCACGCTTTATGCTGAGTGCAGTGAAGTGAAGTGCAGTACAGTACAGTAGATCTCCACACTGACTTCACATTAATGAAGGCCTGTCTTGCTGTCTTCCTCATCCTGGCTGCTTTCACATCCTCATCTGTGCTGCCACCGCCACCTCTAGTTGAAACGATGCTGGCTTGCCTAGGTAGGTGAAAGAGACTACTTCCTTTATGTTCCTCCTATTCATGGTGATCGGTGCCTCTTCTTGTCGTTGTTGTTGCTGCTGCTGGTTGGGTATCTTCATCATCTTTGTCTTCTCTACGTTCACCTGAAGTCCGTCCCGTTTTCGCTGCCTCACCTCGCCTCTTCTGACAACTTGTTAGTTTTCGCCTGTACATCTTCGAGTTTGTGCAACAAGACATTACACATAAATCATCATCGGTGGCGAAATCCAAATCTTCTTCTGAGGTTTTTTCATCGGTCCGACCAGCGTATGGGCCTCTTCTTGCTCATCACAGCTTCTTCCATGATCCAGTCGAGTCCAGTTGACCACAATCAGGAAGATGATCGGTGATAGTAGGCGGCAACCTTGTCTTACTCCTCTCTTCACTTCAAAGGCATCACTGAGCCTGCCATTATGAATCACTTGGCATATAGCGTCATCATACAGCTGTTGAATGTGGTTGATAAAGATTTGTGGCACTGCGTAGTTTTGAAGCAGTTTCCAAATTATTTCTCGGTCGAGATGCGTAATATGCAAACCACAAACCTTATTCCAGGTGACAATGATTATACTGTGTTGTCAAGCTACACAGTTTAAGTCGCTTTACCAATCAAATCATGTGAAGAATATTATAGCAAAACGATAACTGAAAGTGAGAAATATCAGTTTATTTATCAATGCCAAGGATATCCGATTCAACATGAAGATTAGAAGATTGTTGATAAACCCAGTTCGTCACGGCAGTTTCAACAGAAGGTTTACTTTTGATCGCTAACAACCATATGAGTTTTTATCTTTTAAAAGTTCACTTTTAGCATAAATCAGCACTGGCTAATTTCAGCCAACACAGTCAAGTAGTAAGGGATTACCAAGTGTAAGGACTCATACAACGGTCTGCTTGAACCTTGGGCTACCAAATTCTTTCACCAAAGATATCAGATTTTGAAAATGCTTACAACTTTGTATTTCTTGGAGTTAATAACAAAACAATGCACAAAAGTATACCATGTTTCTAACCTTCGGATACTTAGCTAAAGTTGCAGATTCTTGTACTGTCTGAATGAACCTCTACCACCAAACTTACGCTGCCGTTTCTGTTGATTCCCTCATCATGGACCGGACGCTAACACAAAACCAGATGTCTGTTTTATATTATTGCTTTGAATACTGTTATTATAAACATCATTCAGATGCAATAACCATTTCGTTTGGAGATATTGTTCTAGGAGTGATTTCGTTCTAACATTGTACGCTAAGAACTGCATACTATATCATATTGTTTGGAATAAAGCGATTATTAGTACCAGTATAATCATAGATTCAAACCAACATACCAGACTGAGTGGATACAACTGTTCCAAACTGCTGACTCAACGGTGTAGTACTTGAAGGTATGGCAGAAGAAAGAGATGGAATGATGGAAGTTTTTTCAGCACTAGTAATGGAGCTTGATGTAACAGGCACATCAGACGTTAGAAATGGAGAAGGGCCATATGGACTTGAGAAAGACGAACCCTTCCTCCCTTTACTTCCAAACAAACTATCAACTTCAATTTGACTATTGTGGCAAAAATCATCCTTATCACCAAATGGATTTCGCGCTGATCCATAGCACAGACGGTATTTCTTTAAATAATTCGCTTCACAGTCTATGAAATAATAAAAGTAATGTAGAAATTAAAATTGTGGATGAAATAAAGAACGTTTACAACAATATATGTAGCTAAATCTCTCAAGGCAAGCAATACCCAAATCCCACGGAAAACTAAGCATGCCATTCTAAAGAATTGTATTAATTTCAGGTTGATATTCATCGCAGATTGACATCAGCTGGAGAATCATTGGAAACCTGGAAGTACTGGACGGACAGCTATTTTGTCCTGGTATGGGATTCCTCCCCAGTGAGCATTCAACAGCCCGACAGGGATGGGACACAAAACCTTCAGCTTCTGAGGATCTGAATCCAATGATCCACATATCCTACTTCTATCAGTTCACGATATAGCGAGACTTACATCCGGTGCTTAACTGTCTTCACGTTCGACTTCGTTGACCCAACTGGTCACGACTTCTCATTGACACATCGGGAATCTCATCTCGGAGCAAACCAATAGTTAATTCAATTTGTATAGGTGATTTTCCACTAGATTATATCATGTCGTCAATGTAATGTAATTCAACAAACGTGTGCAAGAAGTCATGCACACTTTGTGAAGGCTACCTGGTTGCCCAGACTTCCGTAGGTGGACTAAAGTTCAAAATGGTGACCAAATGGTTAAAAATAGATTACCTAGACCAAAAAGCTACAGCTTGGTCAGATAAGTAGTGCTTAACCATAATTGAATGAATCATGTTTTCACCTATCGAAATAAATAAGATGCAGCACAAATAATGATGGATAAAATATGCTTATAAATGCCTTTATAGTAAAAAGCTTTTTGATACTATTTAGATTCTTAAGTTACAGTAAATGGAGCTACGTTCAGAATTGTGACCCAGTGCTTGAAAAATTCAACACCAAGACTTATGAGTTATAGCTAAAAGCTAGGTAGTCTTGAAGCCTGAAGAATTTGCATATTAACGTTTACAAAGTCAAGTATACTGACATATATATATATATATATATATATATATATATATATATATATATATATATATATATATATATATATATATGATACCTAAAATGATGTGGCTTACAGTCTAGTATACACATCGGTTAATGATGAATGAGTTACACTTATCATATTTCCACTATGAACACAGCAGTATTATTTAATATTTTGACTATGCATTAAGAAACAACTGTTATATGACAGCACACGTTTTTCATAGATTAAGTAAGCATCAGATCATATAAAGTAGGCGACAAACATGAAGAAGAAATTCAATCATCAGTCATGTGCCGACTCCTACAATGGACAATGAGTCACATCTATTGTGTAAGGGTTGATACCGATGTTCGAACCCGCGACCCATTGATTAAAAGTTGACTCCCTAAACTAATCAGGCTACATCTTCACTGTGATAAACATGACAACTTTTAAGGAGTATTCAAGAAACTGTGCACATTATACAATCAAAGATAATCTAAACAAGCATCAATCGGTAGGACTGTATTTGTCATTTATTAAGATGTACTCAAAGAAATATGATTTCCTACGAGTGAATTTAAATTCCATTTTAATCGAACAAAACTAAGCGTGCATGGAGTTCTATCAACTACTTAATGAATAAACAGTTAAAAATTATACCGTCCATCGACTTATGAGTAACTAGTGTCATTATGTTCTTTATGAACTGAATCCTATGCATCGAATTTATGATGTGACCATTCAACTAAGTAACTCGATATTTCCATAAGAAGAGAGTTCATCGCTGCCAGACCAAAACGTGGCACCAGTCCATGAAGTTCCTGGCTGTTGGTTCAAGCCATGTGGAGGAGATGTCGACTACTTGCCTGGCGTCCCCGAGACAAGAGAAATTAGTGGTTGAGGAGTCTTAGTGACATAACTAGAAATTAGCCACAGCAGTGCAGCTGAATTCAGTTTTTGATGTCTTCTAATTGTTTATTCTCCTTTCGCAAAACTTTGTCTACTTTGATATCAGTCTTTTTCTATTCATTTGTTCTTTGTCTAATGCTGTGAAGTGTGGCAAGATGGACGGATAAACTTGTACACGAGGTTTTATGTTATTTTATCTGTTTATAAACTGCAATCACTTCTGACACAAACAACTCAGTGATAACATCTATAGCTGAATTGTTAATCGATTCAAGTACCAATGTATGTAACAAAAAGAAACCAAGCCTACTGAAGGTTTAAAATGCATCTTACTGATTTGTATTTCAAAAAGAAAAAAAAAGAATACAGGACCAAAAAGTTAAAAACCCGCAGCATTTAAGTTTAAGTAATAGAAACAGAGCAATGGTCAATTCTGTAGTCAACAGACGTAATTCAGGATAACATTGAAGCCATGATATCAGTAAACGTTATGATGATGTAGTAAGAATCATACCTTCATACTTTCATGAACAGTGTATAACTGAGCTGCAAGATTTATAAAATCATGATCCATTCGATGCAAAACATTCAGAAGATCTTAAATATGAATTTGCAAGTGTATAATCGAAGCTATTTAGATTACCTCTTGGAGTCATTGGAGTTAATGGTTGAGAGTAAACATTCTCTTCAAATACTTCTAATTCCTGTTTATACAACTTCATTCTTGTATCGAAATCATTAATTTTCTTCATAAAATAACTAAATCGAATATAACTTCAGATTAACTTTATACCTTGTTATCTCATTGCTATCATTTTTAATGCTTAATCCATGTTCAGATGTTTTATGAGCCAGTTCAGCATTTTTCTCTTCCTTTGTAAAGATAATTGAATTATTAAAGAATACAGATTTTATTGTTACTTTTAAAACATCCGCTTTTAAACGTGAAATAGCTGTAGAAGTATGCCGCAGGCTAGATATTGAAGATGATACTTGTTGATTCAAAGTTTTCAGTTCATCACGTAAAGTAATTAAATGGTCATAAGATAGGGCAGCTAACTCTTCATGATGCTTTTTTTGTTCAATAAGAAATTTTCTGAAAATTACTGTTTGTGCAAAATTACAACTTACTTAAATTCGCCTAATGATGTAGATATTTCATTACACAGAATTAAATCTTTTGCTTGTAGGTGATTTCTAAAAGTTGTACGATTAAACAGACAGGTTACTTGATGCTAGTATCAGCTAACCCACGATTCATCTTTTATAATTTACTACTAGTTGTGATAACAGAACCACAGCTGAAAATACAAAATAACAAACTCTATACAATGCGAAAGATGTGTTTTTACTTGTATTATCCGGTTGTTGATCGAACTGAACTGATCAAAATCTAGTGGCATATCGGCTCCTGAGCGGATGCCTCGACATTGTCCGTGTTTCAACTATATATTAATGATGAATAGTGGATGGCAGTGAAATCCAGGACGCACGTTTCGTCCTATTAGGGGTTCATGAGTGGTACCTAGCTGCCAGTGAACAATGCCGCCCCCACCAGAACTCGAGCCCGGGTGGATCACTTCAAACACCAGAGCGTTATCCACTGAACCACCGGGTCACGTTACTCACTTCATGTGCGAAGGGTATGGTCCTTGTGTTGTTACCTGTATTATCCCGTCGTTGATTGAATTGAATTGGTCTTTAGTGGCATATAGGCTCCTGCACAGGTGCCTCGATACTGGGTGCATTTCAGTGTCATATTAATACAAGTAACAACATATATAACAACATATATAGATGATGATTCACAAGTACGACGAAACTAGCATCTTGAGTTTCACTACTAGCCAATACCAAGCAATTATGTGAAAAGTAGTTCCGCTGACAATATCGTGACGATATAGGTATTCAAATTTTCCATATGAATGATACGTCGTACTGGTCACAGTTTAGTGAAGCTTGCAATACGGGGGAAAAATACATTCAAATTAGATCAGCGAATTTAGTTATAAAATGTATGTTTATAGCCTCCTCTTTACAGCCCATTCGTGAACCCTAACTCTTACATTACTCGACTATTTAGTTTGTGGAGACTGCATACAATTGTGTATAAACCACTTTAACTATAAGCAATATTTCCTTTTCATCGTTTCTTTTACACATTCTGTACATTATTCCTAATACTTGTATAAACGAATGTTGTTTATATATACACCTTTTTGGTTGTGGCGGTAATTGTATCTTTTGCTGCTGCTAATAGTGGAAATATAATGTGCTTCTAACCATTCCGAATTCTGCCTCCGTGACTATTGCCTGTTGTGCATAATAACTGATTGTCTTGAGAATTCACAGGACTTCTCATCCTACTTCCAAATATTACGACAATCAAGCCGACCGACGACCACAGCGGAGAGACAACAAATATCGCCTTCTGATCTCTGGAGTATCCCAAAATTGTGGTGGACAATACCGAAGAGATAATCTCCAAGTAACCAGTGATTATCTATGACATTGACAACACTATTTATGCTATAATGTATAACTTTTCACACACGTGTATCATAAAATCCATTTTTGTTGTAAATTGTACGTAGTTTGTCATTTCGGTTTACTTGACATTCTTTGGGTCCACTACAAGTCGGAAATGAATCAAACTGTAAAGGTAATGAATGGTAACAGAATATTTAGTCTTTGATTTTCCTTTACCTACGGTGTTAAAACCCCGCCTTTGTTAAAACGGTTTCACGAAACAATACCATAATTCGCAAATATTATTTGTGCCTTACAGCCAAATGTATGAAGCCACTAGTGCTTATTGTATTCTTTTAAAGATAAACAACGAATTAATGTGAACAGAATGCACCGAAATTAAATGAGTGCTCCTGACCAAACGAAAGGAATCGCTGGTTGAAGAGTAACTCTTGGTGACATGGCTCAAAATCGGTAACAAGAACACAGATGTATTCACTCTTTAACATCTAAAACTTATATATTTGCACTAACCTTTACCTTTAGATTATCTATTCTCTCACATACTTTATCTACTTTGATATCAGTCCTGTTTTATCCCTGTTCTTTGTATACTTCTGTGAAGTGTGGCGACTTGAGCCAATGCATTCCCATGCAAGGTTTTACGTTGATTTTATAAGTCAGCTGATAACCTAGTAGAGTTATCGTATCGTTAAAAGAACTCCGTTTGCACCATCCAGAGAGTAATATTATTAAAGATAACCAGTACTGCGGACCCAAAGGTGGGTAAACACTAGGAACCTTATCTTTTGGCTAGCAACGTTTGTTTTATATGCACAGGGTAAATTACATATATATATATATATATATATATATATATATATATATATATATATATATATATATATATATATATATATACCACAAGTTTGAGAAAAACCGACTATAGTTTCTGCCTAACCTTAGTCCTTTATCTAGTTGCTTTTAATTACGGAGGTACTTGACGACTTACGAACCAGAAGTTACCGAAATTAGGTAGCTAACCTTTGCAAGATAAAAATACCGCAAACAAAAAGCCTACAAACTCGCTCAACATGAATGTCCATATTAAGACGAGCTCACTTTTAGGATAAGATCAAAATCAAATCGCCATGTAGTTACCTACATGCAATACCGATGCTTGAAATGATGTTATTTGGCATCGCATCTAGTTTACTTTGAACACTGATAAACAAAAGTAATTAGCTACCGAGAATTAAAAAAAATTAAGATAAAGGTGCAATTACACAGATCTTTAGGTATAGCGCTAGGCGTCAAGTTTTTTGTGACGGTCCTAGGTAAAAGATCCAACCATCAAATTAGATGGCTGCGACAGGTGTTATACACACTTAGCTACCATCTACTCCATTGTACGACATTAGCTGGAGTAAGTTTACGCTGGATTAAAAGGCCAAAGATGGTCAGAATAATGCACGGTATCAGTCTATAAAGTCGTTAACCGTTAATCTGAGCCACGTAGGAGAATGCTGACTTTAGGGGGTCAGTGGTAGAGTCGGGTGATAACAGAAATTGGCGGTCGGACTTAGGAAGTGTCGTTCAGAGGCGATCATAACAGCGCAGACGCATTTACATATTCCCTTCATCTCAACCATTGTAACAACTTTTGTCATTGTTGCCACATCTCTTTTTTAATGACTGTACTATTTTCAACAACTTTTTCTGTTTGATGTACCACTGTGAGGTGTGGAAATTTAGGTCATGACGCTGCAATGCTAGTCTCATGTGGACACTGAATGACTGATGATGTATGCAACAATCAATAGTACAAACACTGTTATTGATGATTTCAAAAGGATTAGGACTGGTTCCTCAAGACACAAGCTTTACGTCTCCATACGTAGACAGGTCACAAGAAACAATCTATATGGGCTGGTGGAGCTATGATTAGTTGGTTTAGATAGTGGACTTCTAGCCAGTGGGTAAAGGGTTCGAACCCAGCCCCACCTACTGAGATAAAGGCAGTCTGGCAGTACCCTTTACTTTTACACAATAGGCGTACGATTTTGATGACGATTGAATTGAGAGAAATTATTTCTTATGAGGTCATTTCTCACTATTTGCCAATTTTTTACATGCCCGCACTATAAACAAGCGACTGCACTTTTAACAAGCTCATAAATAATTATGTTTTAGTACTAGATCGCACAACTTAAAGCCCGGCCAAAGCTTTTTAACTCCAGCTATACTTCCCTATTAATCAGTTAAGCTTCTCTACTCCCGCTGAAAGGGAACCAAACGTGTCGCGACAAAAGCTCTGAATTAGAGCACTGATTCTTTCATATGGCAGTCAACGAATGAAATTCGTTACCTCAACAAGTGCTAGCATCTCCTTATATGAACACATTCGGGTGGGGAAATGGGTCTTCATAGGCATAGTTACCATACATTTTTCGCTGAAAGCAGAATACTAGTCGTGATCTCAAGGCTGCTAAAAGACGGCTTAACTCTACTGTTTACGTGAATATGTATGCGCCTTATAAGGGACAAGACCACAAATAAATGAAGCTCATTTCTCATAGTGTATAAGAGTGTGTAAAAATATGGATAAAATTTGGTATATAAATTAAGTATTCGGTTTTACGTAATATACAATAATATAGACCACCCTAGGATAAATTCCGACGGTAACGCAACGCAATGAAAGCGCGCCTGAAATAGTTTGTGATAAAAAGAAAACTTTGTTGTAAGTAAAAGATAGTCCTCGTGTGAAAGACTTAGTGGTCCAACTACATTTGAAATGCAAAACCTTCATAAGTTGTATGACCGGAAGTTCCTGTCACGGAAGAACTATTTCAATATACAGGAATTATTCAGAGAGACTGTAGCTTATGTTTCGTATTATTTCGTTTACAGATTTAACGCCTCACAGTTGAACCTTTGTTTAATTGCACTGGTTTCAAATTTTTCCCGAATTCCTTGTCATTGCGGCATCCTGCTTAACACTTAACTTTACACTATCTATGGCTGGCGGATCAGCAGTGTAGTGGATAGTGGGAAAGACGATGATGGATCGTGCAGCGTACACAAACTTAAAGTCAGATATCGGAGCTCTACAAAATGGTGAGCCCGACGTAATCAAACTCTCGAAAGTTTTGCTGACGGGTACTATCACTGATTTCGATCCCGCACCACAACTACAGTTACCCACAACTGTACCCGATAGGGATATATTTACTGCGAATACTTCGGATTCAGGTTTAAAGATTGAAGGCTGTGAGCCTTTATTGATCGTTTCCTGGTGGATTTCTGTGCATGTCTAATCCTCTTCTGAACAAGCTATTTGACGGTAAGGACAACACTTCTGCTGGGAGTCGGCTCCAGGAGTTGGCTACCCGACGCCAGAACCAGCATTCTGCGGAGACTGTTTGTCCTCTGCTTTTGTATCTTCCTATTGCCCCCTTTGAGGTGTCCTGACCTAGCGGGAAGGAAAAGAGAAGACAGATCAGGTTCGAAGTCATTTCTTAGAATCCTGTGTAGCTTGATTATATTCCCCGTCTGTCCCCAATAGGATAGTGGGAGGAGGTTCAGCTCCTTAAGTCGATCTTCATGGGTCAGTCCAGCGATCGCAGGGATCACATGGGTTGCCACCCTGAAACCTTCCCAAATGGTCTGAGTCACCTTTCAGACAGGCATCATTTTTTTATATTTCGACCGAAATGAGGATGTGAATAAGATCATGGACACATCATTTATTTTTGTGAGCGTTCCGCGTACCGCGCGAAGTGTCCTAAA